TAAGAAAAAAAGAGTTTATAAATTCAGAAAATTTAGTTAAATATTAATGATATAAATATGCAAAAAATATAATTATTATCAAGAGTATAATATTACTTTATTTTTTTAATAATTAGAAATGATTCTATAATAGATAGTAATAGTAAAAAGATAACAAAAATGAGAAAAGTAAGCAAAGTAATAAGAATAATAAAAATAATAAAAATAATAAAAATATTAAGAAAAATAATAAAAATAATAAAATATTTGAAATAAAAAATAAATACAAAAAATAATATATTTTATTAAAAAAATTTTTAAGAAGAAAATTTATATATTATTAATTAATTATTTATTTATTTTTTGTTTATTTAAAAATAAATTTAATAATTACTAAACTTAATAAATATACTAAGAGTCATGTGAAGCTTATTTATAAACAAATAAATATTTATTTTAAAATATATTTTTTTATATAATTTTATCTTAAAACTTTTATTTATTTATTTATATAGATAAATATATTTTATCTAACTAATATAACAAATTTTTATTAAAAAATCTTCTTTATAATAAACTTATTTCTATAGTAAAAAATAATATAAGATATTTAATATTATATTAAAATATTAATTTTTATTATAGATCTTATATTTATTAATTAAATTAATTAATCAAAAGTAATTAAAAAAATTTTTGAATATATAAATATTTATTTTTATATAATAAATATTAAATTTTAATCATATATAAAATTTAAAATATTATAACTTTTTAAAATTATAATTAACAAAAAATCTGTTTTAACAGAATTATAACTTAAATAAAAATTAATAAATCTATAAAAGAGATTTTTATTAAATTATTTATTTTTGAATTATAATACTTTTTATATTATATATAAATATTAGATATTTTATATTATCTCTCATTATATTTATATTATTATTTTTCTTTATCAATATAAATTTCAAGTAACTTTTCATATAATAAAAAAATATTTTAAAGAAGAGATTCTTTCTAAGCTTGAAATTAATATTTCTATTTTATTTATATTTATATAGCATATAATTAGATATATTTACTAAGTTTTAAATATAAATATTATTAAAAAGATATTTATATTAATGAATGTAAATATAAAAATATTATAAAATATTATATAATATTTTTAGAATAAGTTATTAAATATAAAAAATTTATATTAAAATTTAAAAATATTGAATATTAAATTTATATTTATTTTAATTTAGCTTTTGATAAGAAGAAAAATATATAGATAATATATAATAAGAATATTTTTTACTCTTATAATAAATCTTATATTTTTTGAGAATCTGAAGAATAATTTCTTTGAAAAAAAGAACTTGAACAGGAAATTCATATAAGTGATTTCTTAATAAAAATAATTAATTATTTTAAGAATAATTAAGATAAAATATAAAAGATTATAATTTGAAAGCAAATTATAATAATTATTAAAATAATAAAAAATTTATCACTTAAGTTTGTTATATAATAAATATTTTTAAAAGAATATATTTTAATACTATTAATATTTTTGTATTTAATGATACTATCAATTATATAATATTTATATCTAATATATTGATTATTAACAAGATAAATAAAGCTTTAGAAGAAAAAGTATTGCTAATATATAATATAATTTTTAATAAATAATAATAATTAATTATAATCTTATAATATAAGATAAGAAATAAAAAAGAAAGATAAATATTTATGACAAATTCAAAAATATCAAACTAGTATTAGAGAAGTGAGAATATAAATATGAAAAAGTATAAAATATATATAGAAAAGAAGTCTAATTCCAATTGTATTAATTATTATATTCACTATCTCATAGTTAATTAATCAGATTTTCTTGGTGAAAAAGAACTTATTTAAATAATTATTGAATTACAGAGTCATAAGATATTTTTTAATTTTTTTATTCTTGTTTTATAAATTTTATTTAAAACTTACACTTATATAGATTATATTTTATCTGAAATTTCATTCAGAATTTAATTATATAGAAATATACTGAAATGCTGCTAAGAAGTATATCTGTGAATATTGTGAATATAATCTTAGATTATTATGAATGTTATGCCTGCTGTTTTGAATTTAGTCACTCTTGAAACTATTCATGTATATGTCTGGTTATCTTTTTAATGAATGAATACTACCACCATGGTTTGATAGGATGTGCTGCAGAGTATGCAGTAGAAAATCATAAGGCATACAGAATAATTAATGAAGAAATTATGAATCGAATTAATATTCTTTTAAATTAGATTTATAATTATAAAATCTTGGTGAATTATCTATTATTTGATGGTGTGTAACCAAACGCTTAACCATGTTGAAAATTTGGTCGCCCTTCGGGCGGTATGATGACTTCATGCTTGCCGCTACTGTACTTAAATACACGATATTGTAACTGGTGAACTGTAAACGAATTCGTGATAAGATTTCATATTAGTATGTTGTTATGTCGAGAGTGCAAGAAATACATAATCTAAATGTTTTCGTTAAGAATGGCATAATTCGAGGTAGAAATGGAATTTACACGCGAAATGTATTCAGGGAGCTTTAACATTATGAAAAATTTAGACTATTTATAACAATAACTTTTTATTTAAAAATAATCTCTTTTTTATTAATTGGGTTTTTCGATTAGTTTTGATTTGACGCGATCCAAACCATATCCATCATGCAATTTTTTAATTGCCAATTACATGTTTCTAATGAAGTAACAAATAATGATACATGTAGAAACTAAATGTATATTACAAAGTGGTCCCCTTCCACGTTCTTTTTTTAAAGCATCAAGAGCTTCTTTTCGTGAATCTAAAAAATGCCAAAAGTGCTTTGGTGGCACTTGTTTCCCATTTTAAATTTAATATATTTTATTCTAATTTGTCGCGTATTAAAGTTCGATTTGAAGTCAAATTTAGCGTGATTAAAAGTTAATTTGTCATGGCCAATTTAAATTGCAAGCTAGATTCGATTTTTATATTGCTCAATCAATCCAAACCGTATGTGAAGACACCCATATTATTATCCTATTGTTTTAAATTCATCTCAATGCAGACAATAGGCCTATTTCCTAGTTCTAAGCTTTATAATGATGCGTTTGTCAATTTAGCAATAATCTCACGTGCGGGTGGTCGATACTGGGAAAGATCGTCACAATAAACATGTTCTTAATGCTTAACTAAAAATCTTTGCTCAGTGTTTTTCTTTAATTTGCATTCTTTGCGTGCTTTCACCCATTTGGATCCCGTCTATTGGGTATGAATAAATATAATAAACACGTATTCTGCATTAACATTGATCAACATCTCTTATTTGCAAACAGATCAGACAGAACATGAAATGCTTCAAACTCTTTTCAACGTACGAGCAAGAGTCTGGTCAAGTATAAAGGTTTCTTGGTAATAAATAGTTTTCTTTATATTCTTGAATAGCCCAGTAATACGTGTTGTAATTAAGCTATTTACAGCTCGAATGGGCAAGAACTTTAGGTTTCCACGGAATATCTTAGAAGGAGTGCCTTCAATAACATCACTAGTGTTAGGTCCGAATCCGACGAAGTGTTTGGGTTAAAAGTCAGGCTTAGCCTTCTATTTTTCTACAACGCGCTTGACAAGTGAGAATTTGCTGAACATGACAACGATTGGGTGACAGTGCACAATCAAAGGGTAATAGAATATGGGCAAATGTATGATGATGATGATAAATTGGACCAAATTCTCGAAGCTATGCCTGGTGCTTTACAAATCCCGGTTGATCAAACAAAACTGCCACGTAATCCACCGGCAAAGATGGTGACAGTTCAACGTATAAACAATGGTAACGACTACAAGGTATTTGACATTTTGACTATATGTTTAGGAGAATCATTGTCTTGTTATGAAATTTAGCATTTTAAAGGTATATTCAAGTTAATTTATTAAATTTTCCAAATAAAGGTTAGAGTTCGCATCAGAAGACCAAATGAAGGTTTAATCGTCCAAATTAATCATGACTTTTATGATACACAACGTAAAAAATTATATACATGTGTAGTGGACCCAGGTGTGCTGCAAATAATATTACCACATTGTGTCAGAAAAATACTTGGAAGAAGGGGATGAAGCATAATTGAAAGAACAGCCATAGGTTATGGGATGTCTGCCACACTAACTTGTGCATGTAGGATATTTGAGGTTTC